AAACTCATTTGGAGAATGCTCAATTTAAGTATTAATCAGTTTCTTCTTTTGGCAAAGAGACAGAATGAATACAGAGAAGAAGAGACTAACACCACAGAGAAAGTGGAGAAGAGATCATACAATAGTTAAGCATGATAAAAACACCAAAAAGGGGCAGAAAGTAAAAGAGGAATACAACGTCGGCATTTGCTTACAGGGCATCGAAGATTGACTGGAAAAAAATCAGCAACCACTTCAAGGTCACTGTCGCTGTCAGCATTTTCAGTGGCAGTCCCACCACCAACACAACGACGAACGCGAGCAAGAGCATCATCAAATACCTCACCATCTGCCTCCTTAGGGATCAAATTGAGAACCTAGAAAGAAAACAAAATTTTATTCAGACACCATAACAGGATCATTACAACAGGACCAAGGCACATATACATGTCTATTGTTAGTCAAGCTAGATCTAGCCACCAGAAATATATTACGAACCGCAGCTAGATAAAAGTAATAATAGAAGATAGCTTTTACAAAAGATTCTCAACTACAAGTACATATACCCGAACTCCACAACCCCCAGTTGAACTTTTCTCAAGAGTCAAGTAGCCATCTGACTAGTCTTTGAGAATCTCAGAGATAACAGCAGTTACTGCTCATTATTGCAGATATAGTGCACAACTCTTAGAACACTCAAAGCAGCTAATGGCAATACGGTAAAAGAGAAAACAAGATGAGACAAAGTGATACTATACACAATAAATTTTTCCAAACTAATACTACAAGCGTCTCCGAATACTTAAAATGCAAATAAGTTACATGTGTAATTGGGGAAATTTGACTACCTGTTGGAAAGTCCGGCGATTTACAAGTCTAACCCCCAAGCAAAAGACACGAGCATCACATCCTGATAATATAATTTTGTTAATTCCATCTCTGGAGCATGGTGTGATCTGTCAAAACATCAAGACATAAACTTGAGAGAAGCATCCAGGAAACCGAAAGCCTTTCTGTATGTATATCAATAAGAAAACCAAGAAATCGCAAGTAGCAAACATGAAATACAACTACATTAACGTATAGTTATTGAGAGTTTTGCCAGCACATATATGTACAACTATTCTGCCACTCCCAAAATGTAGTAGATAGAAGAGTATGCATAAATGAGTACTCACTATTGGGCCATCATCTCGGCCATTTGCACCCAGCAATTGTGAACCAGGTCTATTTATGCACCGTACTGGAATTCCTGTCAGTTCAAATATAATTAGAGTTACTGCACTGACAAAAAACACTAACAAAATTAAAGTATGTGAATTTAGTTTTTTTATCATGTTTGTGGATATTGTAGTTTTGGAGGAAACAAACAAGAACAAAGACAGAAAATACATTCAACCTGAGAAGGGTACAAAAT